CAATTTATGGTACATTTTCAATGGTGCCATCGAACACGTATTGGTATTCACTTGTTGTTGGCATCCATGTCCTAAAAAACTACTTCAGCATGGTGGCATGTAGATTTCACCCCTATCAGAATGATTGACGATTTTTTACATTGTGTCTTACCCGTGATGTTGTTGAACATGAAGCCCTTAAAGTGTTATTAATGTTATTATTGTTACGAATGTTACAATTTGTTATTGAGCATATCCACCAATGCGTGATCCGGTTCTTGTGCTACTATGCTTCAATGGTTTATGTTTCCACATTCATTACTTCAATGGTTAATGTTGTATTCCTTAACAACCATTAATACAAACTAATTTCAAATTATTGTCCATTCAATAGTGAATTCGAAAGGTTACAGAGTGCTAACTTATCTGTTTATGAAACTAAAATGTAATGGAACACATGTAACTCGTCAAAATGGATAAAGTTTGATTTCAATGAAAGAACCATGCACCACATACTCCTCCACTAAAATCACTATAATATGCCTTCAAGTGTAAATTGCATGTTTTGCCATTAAGCATTTATAATTAGGGTTATTGAAATGGTAACTCTGTGACTAAGCCTCTTGCCATGCTAGTTTTGCGTGCTTGCCTAAATCCGATGAATGGGATTGTAAATGAACCATACCCCATATTAATCGTTTCAAATAGGCTTTACTTAATTGCTTTAATACCAAATATAGCAATAGTTGGCTAATGTGCTCCAATACGAATTGCAATAATAGTTATTAATATGTGCTCTAATCTAATTGTCACGGGGTTAGATTTGGCAACAAAAAGAACCCATGTGGTGTCCAAGCGTTATGCACAAAGGACAAACCTTTAGTAATGTAATGGCCAAGTATAAGCTTGTTGATGTCTCCATTAAGGTCATTGGCACTAGATCATAATTTCATTGCACATGGTCGATGTTCTTATTTGGCTTATGTTCATTCATGAAATGCATCACTTACGTGACATTGGGAGATTATGTTAATAATGTCGATGCTAGGGTATCATTAGGCCTTGTATACACCAAAGTGATGGGATACGGGCTAACTCAATTAGCTTAAACATGTGATTGGCAAAGTAAAGGGGCATGGCTATAGCCAACCTACATGCAAAGCTTCCCTTTTTTGCATGAAATGTTATGTTGGTCCATGCATTGTCTTTATGAACCTTAATAGCCATGTGGCTATTAACTAGGGTTGCCCCATGTGGGATGTGTGTTATTTTGAATGCCAATAGTAGGCATATAAGGAGGTTAACCACCCTTCTCAAAAAGGGAATTAAGCTTTTGATGGTCTGCTTAAAGATGAAATTGAAATGCTAAAAAATCACATTGCAAAAATTATTATGATAATGCCATTCAATGTTGCCTACCAAATGTATGTAAATTTATGAGAGCTCATTGAAATTGAATATTGAACTAAAATGAAAAAAAAATCAAACAAAAAAGTGCAGATAACTGAACCAATACCTTTTGTTCAAATTCAGTATTTTTGAAAAATTGAAAAATCGGTTTGGTTTTCAGTTAACTTAGAAAAAACTGATGATTAACCAAATCAACTACTATATATATATATATATATTATACATTAATAGTAATTATAATATAATATACATATTTATAATATATTAATTATATATACCTATATATCTATTTATAATATATGTTATGATTGTAAGAAACAAAAAAAAAAGAACCAAACTAGTCAAAAATCAAAACCAATCAATTAGTCAACTAAAGGTACCAACTCGGTTTTAGTTTGAGAAATTGGTAGTACTGGTTTAGTTTAAAAAAATAGTTTTCAGTTTGATTGACTACTAGGTAAATTAAGCCTATTAGATCATGACATCTAGACGTACACCTCGTGTGGTTTTTAAAACACAAATCTCAACTATATTAAGTTATTTACATGAATTTTGCTTTCGCCATTTTGTTCTATTTAGTGCCATATCCATTGTTAACACTTTCCCATATCCTTTTTGATCCCTTCTATCACTGTCCTTAACAAAGTGATGACATGGTTATGTGTATATACATATGTAAACCCAAATTTAATGGTTGGTAAAGGCTTTGAATGATCATCGAAATATCTATAATTTCAAACTAATAGCAAGGGCATAACTTGTTAAGTGTACCATAGACAAAACAATAAGAGTATAAAAAACAAATGTGAAACCTATTAAATCAACATTAATGAAGCTAACATCCAATAACTTTGATTCGAAATGAGTGATAAGTCAAGAATGAGAGATAAAGATGGAGAAACTTGCTGAGTTGTGCTTGAACCTTAGATTGTGTTTAATAACACTAAGTTTTGATCACATGAAAATGGAAAAGTTTTGATAACAGTGAGCTTTGTTTGGTTATTATCAAAATGTTATAACTTCTGATAATTGTATAATTTAATATTTTTTGGGTTAGTCTATATATTTTTAACATTTTGTCAATTTAAATGAACTTGTTTAAAATTCTTAGATGTTATTATCTTTGAAAATTATATTCTTTTGCCAATTTTCACTTAAAAATAGTCGTTAATGTAACTTCATTCAAATATAAGTAAAGTATAGTAGTTTTATAAAATAATAATTTAAATATTATGTAGAGCAGTAATCTTATTATGTAACTACATACAAATATAGAATAATAATACAAGTAAATATTCAAAAATAAATAAATACATAGCTATAGCAAAGTATAATTTCATAAAAAAATGGAAAAGTTTTGATAACATTGAGCTCTGTTTGGTTATTTGAATGTTATAACCTCTAATAATTGTACATTTTAATATTTTTTTATTAGTCTATATATTTTAATATCTTATCCCTTCGAAATGTATTTGTTTAAAATTCTTTGATGTTGTTACCATTGAAAATTATATATTTTTGTCGACTTCACATAAAAAATAGTTGTTAATATAATCTCATCATATGTATAAGGTATCTTATTTTCATAAAATATTAAATTAAATATTTTATAAAGCATAAATCTTATTATATAATTGCATACAAGTACAAAGTAATAATATAAGTAAATATTTATAAATAAATAAATGCATAATTGCAATGAAATATTAAGCCCCTATTTATGAGTGCTTTTGGGTGGAAGACCACACCAACTAGCGCTTATTGATAACACATTTTAGATGTCTAATTCTTATCCAAATAAGTATGAAACCTTGTTTTTTAGGGGTAAGGGGTTTTAAGATAATGTCTACTTCTAACAAGAAAAAAGACGTACAAAATAATATGACGTGGTCTCATGTCTTATTATAATCAAATGCATTTTGCATGATGAAATGATGTTAATGTCCTTATTATCATCAATTGTTCAATAATAAACAATACTAATTTAATAATAACAAATAATATTTTTAAAATACTATTATTAATTAAATAATAAATATTTATTTTATTTTAAAAATCATAATATTTGTTTAATACTAATAATACTTTTATACAATATTCTTTTTACTATTTGTATTACTATCAAATAGTTTATTTATAGGGGTAAAATAGTAACCTTCATAGTTTTACGTATTGGAAAATTGCTTAAAGTCAAACAATGTTATCTTCCCATAGCCTCTAAGAAATAGAAAATAAAATTTGATTCTTTATAGATTTAAAATTAGAATAATAACTTTTTTTTACTTTTTATACATCATACTTCAGATTCATCAAATGCCGCCTTACTTTTTGTTTGCAAAATAAGTCCAAACAAGTATTTATTATTGAAAATAAACACTCATTGAAGATGCCCTAGTTTTTAGTTTTTTTTTTTAAACGCTTATTTGCTCTTTGGTCTGTCTTAGTCCAATATGTCATTTTTATTGTACCAATACTACCTCTATCATGTTTTGTTTTTCATTGAACACTCATGAGTGCTTAATGAAAAGTTGAAATTTACAATAACAAAGGGTGCAATGATGAATAACAAGCACATCAATCTTACACAAATCACATAAATAGCCTAGTAAGTTGACCATCAAAACAACAAAAAGGGAAAAAAACTATATGTATAATCAAGCACAACATAAATGAGCCGCACAACACAATTGCAAAATATAATGATGGACAAATGATATAAAAGATAATGATGCATGGAGAAGAATGAATTTGTGCATATAGGGGGGGGGACGGAGAATAGAGAACCTCATTTGATGATTAGATCTTGCAAATGGTATAACATGAAGGATGCATGGAGAAGAATGCGTGTGTACGTTCTCTCAACAAAGCATATGTCATTTATAGTGTTCAAATACTAGGATATTTTGAATAAGGGGTGAAGGTTAAATCGGGATAGGTCAAGTCGAGAATAATCCTATTTGTTGAACCCCTAACCTAACCCTAAAACTTCGAATTGGGTTCAAGTCAGACTCAAGTTGGCCCAACTTCCCTACTTTATTTTGTTCAATTTACTTATTTCCTAAACTCCAAGGTTCCATATTATTAATTCAATAGTAGCATTATTATGTGTAAAAAACATGGTTATTATGTGTAGAAAAAAATTCTCTCTAAATTGCTAAAAATAAAAATAAAAACCTTTAAGTTTAAAATTTCGAACATTCAATATACATGCATACATGCATATATAGATAAATTATATTCATAATACATAAATATAAATGCTTGTGTATATATATATATATATAGATTTATATTGCATATACATATATGCATCAATATACATTCATAAATACATATTAAAATAATATTTGTAAATATAAACATGAAATTAAATCGGATTGGTGAAAGCCTCAACCCTAACCCGAACTCCAATAAAACCCAACCCAAATTTACATTTCCGGGCCGGGTTCGGACAAACCCGGTCCAAGTTGCAGTCCTACTCTGAACCCAACCCAACCCACCCTAGATCCTTGAGAGATGACACAGGAGTATTTTCAATAGCATTCAGGGGCAGTGTCGGAATAAAAATTAAAACTTTCCCTATTAGCATGATTCCTCGTTTATTTCTTGCTCCCGCCTCCCCCCCCGACCCTGAGTAAGGCGGCACCCTTCTGCTTCTCTTTGTGCCTCTTGTGTCTCTTATTCGAAACTCAAACGATTACCATAGTTTTTGGCTCCTGTAATCTCTGTATCCTTTTTAAACTCAAACAGGAATCTTTAAATGCTTCATCTTTTTTTTCCTTGTTTTTATTTTTGCTTTTGTGTCAGTTCAGGTGCTCTATGCAAGCTGGTATTTATCTGTCTTCTTCCTTTAAACTGCAGAAAAGATGGGGATTTTCGAACCTTATCGAGCTATTGGTTACATCACGAGCAATGTTCCCTTCTCTGTTCAGAGATTGGGGACGGAGACATTTGTTACTGTTAGCGTCGGGAAGGCATGGCAAGTTTACAACGTAAGATTTTTCTTCCCGTTACTTTCCTCCCCTATATGCTTCGTTTCTTTCTTCAGTTAAATATGGTCGTTTTTATTGTTTGCTTTTATGTGGAATTGTTAAGCTTTTGAACTATGCAATTGTTTGTTTGATGATTTGATCACGAGGCTTTAGTACAAAGGGGAATGCTACCTATAAGTGCATCTTACATCCGAAACATTGTCTGCCGGAGTGGCTGACTGATGCGGAACCCACCCGGACTGATGCATTGTTCCAGATGTATGCTGTATGATACATTTGTATTCGGTACAAGAGATAGTGAACTTGTAATGGACAGAATTGCTTTTAGTGGAAGTTAGAGAAAACTTAGAGGAACCATGAGTTTTATATTATGAACTTAATTTCACAACAATGGATAAATTGTCAAGTTTCTACCTATTTAGTTAGTGTGGGTTGCATTTGCTGAAGGGTATAGTATTTGTGGTTGGAAGGTGACACTGACGAGTCTGCATATCCAAATTGACTGAAATAGTCATTGTATGCCAGCAACCTAATAGCGTCATGGCCAATTAATTTGAAGCATCTTTTTTATTTTTGATAATTGAATTGATAAAAAAAAATTTGATAATTGAATTCATTTGAAGTATCTTCTCTCTAGTATTTTAATTCAAGAAAAAATTCTGAGTCTTTCAGAAAAAAAAGCAGCAAAAACTTAGTATAAACTATAATGTTTACAAAATCTTTGAAAAGAAATTTCAAAGACATAACCAGCTCAATATGTGAATGGTAGGGTGCTGGAAGATTGTGCTATTTGTGACTAAGACTTTATCAGCTCAATTCAAATGACGTAACCAGGATCCAATGTTTTTAGTTAGTTTAAGGGCTTATTTTTCAATTCCTGTGAAGAAATATTGTAGAGATTATTCATCCCACAGGGATTATTTATTCCCCTCAAGTCCATTTAGGAGAGTCCATACAACACTATATGCAAAGCAATGAAACCAGATTAATAGCCCCTCTAAAGTGACCTGCTGTAAATATGCTCTCTGTACATAGTATATGCTGTAAACCATATAGTTTTTCTTTCAGACTTTCAGTAATATATGATACATAGATTCCTGTACACGTCTAGTGTACTAGTATTGTATCTGATACTTACTAACTTACTAGATACAATAGCAGATACTGCACGAATTCTTTTAGATTCATTTTATAACATTAACACTTTTAAAATATGTAAAGTGGTGTGTTTTAACAGATTATACTATAAACCTTTGTACATGTTAATAAAATTGATTAAATTTGGCAAGACACAAGTCTTGAGAAATGACATTTAGCTTCAAAAACTAAACATAAATGCATGATATAAGCATATCACATGGGATACCAGTACCCTTATCCATGTCCTGAATTTTAGGAATTGGGGAGTCATGTCCTCATTTCCTTATCTGTGTCAGTGTCCATGCCGATATCCGGGAATATAATGCAGGAATGCCTTTTAAAACACTGGTTAGCCGTTAACATAATTGCAGCCATGGGTGTAGTATTTCATATTGATAAAAAAGGGGTGTAGCATTTCAAATACTTTTTGAGAAAAAGAGTAACTTTATATAATAGTAAAGAGAAAAAGTAGAATACATGAGATGTTGTTCAAAAGGCTAGTTGCACACAAGTTACAAAGGCATTATACTATTACTATAAAAGTTTTCCCTGTGAGCACCAGACTTGGCTAAATTATCTGCTACAGTTTAAATTCCTGGGAATCCAGATTAAAGATGCATTCAAGTGATGTAACAGATCTCTAGCCTCGTCAAGGTAGTGAGCCGGTCTCCAAGGTCCTCCATCTATCTCCCCCAGCCACTTTATTGTGTTACTAGAATCACCTTTGACCACCAGGTTGGTCAGGCCTAGTCTTCTTATGATACAGAGGCCATTTAGCACTGCTACAACTTCAGCTTTTGTAGAGTTTGCAGTCCCTAATGGTCCACTAAAGAACCACAGAGGACTAGCATCCCTCCTTAGATACACACCCCCACAACCAGCTGGAAAGTACAAGGTCACCTCCTCCTCTTCCCTTGACTGAGGAAGGTTAGTGGCTCTTTTAGCAATAGGTGAAGACAACAGCAGCTCCACCTGGTTCTGCTGAAGCATGTTTAGAGAGAAGTCTTTGTACATCTCTGAATTCAGCATCCACAAATTGCAAAGGTGAGACTTGAGAGATATGAGAGCTTAGGTCTTCCAAGGTTCTAGCTTTGTTGTTAAAAATGCAGTTGTTTCGTTCTTCCCAAATACCCCACATGACTGCTTGTGCCACTGTGTTCCAGTAGAGTTTGCCCCTTTGACTTAGCCCTTTCCCTTGCCATTGCCACAAAAAATCTTTGATGCTTTTAGGAAATACCCAGTTGTAACTGATCAGATTTAGGACCTGGTTCCAAACTTTCCTAGTTTCTGAACAGTGAAGAAGGAGGTGCTCGGCTGACTCTCTATTTTGTTAAGACAACGAACACAGACATTGGGGGAAATGTTTAATCTACTAGAGTGCTTTTTTTGTAAAAGATCACAAGTATTTATCCTCTCCAAACAGACTCCCCAAACAAAGAAGGATGCTTTAGGAGGGATGAGACCAATCTAAACTTTCCGAAACGGGAACCCAGAATTCAAATCTTTTGACACCAAGGCCCTGAAAAAGGAATTGGTTGAAAATTTCCCAGAAGTAAGGAGTTTCCAGATTCTTGTGTGAGGGGGAAATGTAGACCTCCCTTAAGGAATGTGTCAGATCTGCTAACTCAGCATTCTCTACATCCCTTAAGGGTCTTCTTAAACTTAAAATTCCAGCTTAAAGAAGGAGAAAAGTCTGAAAGGCAAGAAACTATGGTGCTCGCTTGGTTATGGGAAAGGCTAAACAAACTAGGGAAAGAAAAAGCTAATGTATTTTCTCCCCACCACGGATCAGTCCAGAAATTAATTTTAGATCCATTCCCTACTCTATACCTGATAAAGGGATAAAAGAAGAATAGGTAGAACTGATATCTTTCCAAGGATTATTTTCACTCGTTTCAAGTGGACCTTGCCTTGGGCCCCTGCATGCCTGAAAGTAACCTTTGGGCCCTCCATTTACTAGTATCGAGAACCAAGCTGTAGTGAAGCACCCTTTCATCCACTACACCCATCTTCTTCCAAAACCTCTTAACTCCAAGATGTTTAGGATCCCATCCCAGTCCACTTTATCATAGGCTTTTTCCAAATCCAGTTTTACAACCACCCCAGAGTTACCACTTTGTCTTCAATCTTCTGCACATTCATTGGCCACTAAGATGCTATCAATGATCTGCCTTCCTTTTATAAAGGCAAAGTGGTTGCTGGAAATAAACTCTCCCAACACCTCCCTTAACCTGCATGCCAATACTTTGGCCGCAATCTTGTAGATGCTACCCACTAGACTGATTGGCCTGAAATCTTTTGCTTCCAGAGTACTTTCTTTTTTCAGGATTAGGGCTATGAAAGTTGAGTTGTTGCCTTTATTTATTATGGCTGAATTGAAGAAGTCTATGAAAACTTCTAGCAAATATGATTTTATGGTATCCCAACAGAGTTGGTAGAAGCACGACGGTAAACTATCTGGCCCTGGAGCCCTATCTCCATCCATACTAAAAACTACCTCCTTGATTTCCTCCTCCTTGAACTCCCTTTCCAACTAAACCTGCTTATCCTCCAATAAAAGTCCACCTTTCCCATCTAGCTGTCTAAAAAGGTCTACTTGCGGATTTAGTGTACAACTCCTTGAAGAAGGATAAAATCTTTTCCTCCGTGAAGAAGGATAGTCCACCTTCGCACCTCCACTCTTTTTCTTCTACCTTCGTTGTCCAAAGTCTCATTTTGCTCCTCCCTATCTAGATCTTCCAAAACCTTAATCAGTTTGCTTTTTTCTTTTTTCCTCAGAGAAAGCTTTGAATTCCTCTTTTCCCCAACTTTTTAACTTCCTCTTAAGAAACTTCAACTTTTGTAAGAAACCGAACCCAACCAATCCTTCAACTTTACATTCCTCCCATTAAGAAGCCACATTAAAGTCCTTATGTAATGTCTAAACTTTCTATAGTCTGAATGGGGACTTCCTTCTTTAAAAAATCAGATTGTAACACAACTGGCCAATGATCTGAAGTGCATTTGGGTCTGATCTCCTGTAGAAGGTTTGGGAAGTGTTCCTACCGGTCTGCAGTCATCAGTAATCTATCTAGTCTACAGCTCACTGCATTCTCCTGCATGTTTGACTAAGTAAATCTCCCATTGCGGAGAGGGATATCTTGTAAATGATTCCTTGCTACGAAATTAGAAAAATCTCTCATGCTTCTGGTTATCTGTTTACCACTCAACTTCTCATGACTATATTTGGTGACATTGAAGTCTCCCCCAATGCACCAAGGAAATTCCTCAAACTCGTGGATAGAGTCCAGTTCTTCCCATAATCTTGCTCTTTCGGAGGGAGAGTTAGGCCCATAAACCCTTGTTAAAATCCAACAGAAACCATCTGAGGTGTTTGTGAATAAAACAGAAATGGAAAATTCCCCTATGTCCACTTCTATTCCTGAAACTAACTCTTCTTTCCAAGCAATTATGATTCCTCCTGCAGTCCCTGTTGTTGGTAAGGTTGTCCACTACTTGCCCCTTAAACCCCAATTAACTTTTAATAATTTTCTATCCACCATCTCCTCTTTTGTTTCTTGGAGCATGACAATGTCTGGATTTTCCCTCTTAAGAGTTTCCTTTACTAGGCTTCTTTTCTCCCAAACCCCTAACTTTCCAGCTCAGAATCTTCATCACGCCTCTACTACATTCTTTCCCTTACTGGTTCTACTTCCTGCACCATAATGAGTATCCAGCTTCTGGTTTGTCAATCCCCATTGGAGTCTTTTCAATTCCCTATTCATCCCTAGTTTCTTTCCTGCATCCATCTTGCACAAGATCCCCTTATTGTAATTCCTTCTAGCATCTTTTTGTTCTGGTCTAACTTCCCTTTCTTCAATCCGATCTGCCAAACCCAGATTTCTTGCCAACTCTGCCAAGTCTGTCTCGCCGGTGGGAATTTCCTTCACTGCCACTGCTTCCCCTCTTAAACTTTGCAGGCTGCCTACTTCCTTGTTACCGATGGCGAGGAAGGCATTGCAGACGATTGGGATAGCAAGATGCTTGAACCTGAAAGACAGACAATAGAGGAGTTAGGGTGAAAGACTAAAAAATTGGAAGAGGAAGATAAAAAATTGTGACTGAAGTTAGAAAAGTTGGGGAGAGAAGGGGCTGAAAGACAATGGTTAGCAATGGTCGAAGAAGAACAACTCTGTCCCTCAGTTAGGTGCCCTAGGTTAGAATCCTCTCCATAGTCTAGGCTCACTAATTTAATTGGCTGTAAAATTTTGACACTTCCCCAATCTTCCCTTCCTTCGAACAAAGTCTTTGATTATCTAAAAGCCACCTCCTGACCATCTGATACCTCCTCTGAGAAGTAAGTGGTTACATCTGTTTCTGACTCTTCTTCTTCACCTGAAGAAGTCTTCGAGATAGGAGTTGGAGGCCTGTTGATGCTTCTTCTTTTACATTCTGAACTAACAGGAGTATTAGGTAATTCTCCATTGTTGAAGGTGGGGGTATTAGGGATGTTGGAGTTGCCGCTTGGAAGTTGCAAGGAGGGCTCATGGGTTCTAGTCCTGGTTGAACCCAACTTACCTGGCTGGTTTAATGAAATGGAGTTTAGTCGGGTTGGTTCACCGGGTCAATTTGAATCCAACCCAACCCCATTTCTTTCTTCATCAGTCCCCTTTAAATTTTGAAAATACTTTCCTCTTTTGTCATTACCCCTTTTTTGTCGTTTGTGCCTACCCATCTCTCTAAGACCTTTTCTTCTCTTTGACCTCTTACCTTCTTTGGCAAAAGCTTTGAGTGGCAATGGCTTTCCTCTGAAATCTTTGGTCTCATAGAAGCTTCTCTGCATGGTGATTGCTTCAGCTTCCATTGGCTAGATTCCACATGTCTGAGAGCTGTTTGGGCGAGTTAGCTCAGTGACTTGTCGAATCATCGATGGCCAGGTAAAACCAGACATTTCTCTTGAGAAGGGGAATTGAACGAGGTATGGAATGGATTCCTCTGTTTTTTACCTTTAATTGGGCAAACCTTAGCCCCTGAGAATGCTTAGTTTTTGTGTCTATTCTTCTAATTCACCACAAAAGCTCCCAATCAAAGAAAAAAACTCTTCTCTCCATAAATGAAATGGAAGTCCTTGAGTGAGAATCCACCCGTCGAACATCAAGGATTTTGGGACTGCATTAACCGTCGGCTACCAACGGGATATAGAGAGCCACTGACTGAAAATGAAGACTTTCTCTAGCCTCAACCAAATCATAACTACATCCTCTGATGGGGCGAAACCCACTGCATGATTAGAATCACAGGGAGTAAGGTGTATTTGTTTTGGGGCATGCAGGTTTGTAGTCAACCCCGTCTTCACTTACTCCCAACTCATCTCCTTTGGTTTTGTACATATAAAAGCTGTTTTCCACTGTCCGAACGGACTGGTCTGATGCACGGCTGAAATATGGCCTAAGCTTCCTATCTTCACCACTCTGCTTTGATTTTCCAAAGTGGGGAAGGATTCAGGTGAAGGAGCTGAAAAACTTCAGTTCTCCCTAGAAGGGACAAAGATTTCTAAGATTTGCAAGAAAGTCTTCCATCCGCTTCTATTTTCTTCCTCCAGGATGCATATGCTTCGCAGTTTGTCTGCTCCCCCATCTGTTTTTGTTGACCTGAAAAAGAATCACCCTGCCCCCTTTCCGCTTTCTTCTTGGGCTCTATTTTTCTTATTCTGTCTTCCACAACCATCTGAAGGGTTTTCGCCAGCCAGACCGCCTCCTCAAGCCTTAGGTTCAGCCTCATCCAAGCTCTTCATCCACGTTCTGTGATCTCTAGGCCTTCAAATTTCCTTCCGATAAAGAACTTTAGCTCGAACATGACTCTTCTTCGTTTTCTGCTCGAACGACTGCAGATTAATGTTAGCATTTCAATTTTAACAATCAAAACTGACTAAAATTGGAGCGAAAGCTATATAGAAGCTTGAATTAAACTTCAATCAGGCAAGTTGTGCTTTGTTCTCCATGAAAATGGAAGCATTTTAATGGAATTAGTTCAGTTTCAGTGCACGTTTAATACCATGCTTCTGGTAGAACACTAGAACCTTGATTGTATTGGAGGGTAACTTTTTTGAATAGTGGCTATTATCCCAATGTGTTCTCTATACTTGTAATAAACATTTTTTTTTTACATATAATATACATTGAATGTGGGATTCTTTCTATACGATGAAGTCCATGTTTTTTTATAGTTTCAAATAGAGAAAAAAGAGGGCAGGAAAAAATTTGGTCAAACAAATATTACTTAATGTTTTTCTTTTTTGATAAGTAAGAAGAATTTGACTGATAAGATAGATGGCAACTTATATTTTTTTTTTGATAATAACAGAAAAGGAGATTTTATTAAAATAAAAAATAAATATTACAGCCTGGTGTAGAGATTACACCACAACCCATTACAAAAAATTTTCCAGATTACATTCTTGGATCTCAATTGCACTCCAAAAGTTAGACCCTAAATCTGACATGGATATCTGAGCAATCCGGTAAGGTGAGCACCCAATCAGTGACAGCCCTTCCAATGGACTCCACCACCTTCTCTAGCTCGTACCGACTATCTTCGAAGACTCTCTTGCTTCTTTCTCTCCATATGAATCAGCAAACAGCAAACGGAGTACAGCTCCAAACAATTCTGGCCTTTTTGCTTCCACTGAAAGATGGCCACTTAGAGAAAAGTTCAGCCAGAAATTTGGGGAGGAACAGCTGCATACCAATTATAAATCAAATAGCAAGCTATACAACGAGGCTTCCCATATAGAGGCATGAGATGCAGCCTCAATTACAATTGCCCCAAAACAAATGCTCCCTATTCATGTCAATCAGCGAACTCATTGGCTTATCTCCTTTTGTCTAATGACCCTTACAGTCATGTTTACAGTTAACCTTTTCACAGCTTTCCTGTAAGTCAAATTAACAGTTTCCGGATCTGTCAACCACCCAACTACCAAATACCAGTTTTGAGCCCCCCTTTATTATCAATCTGTCCACGTTCAGCTCTCTAGCAAACTGTGCTCCTTGCAATACGGCTTGAAACTCAGCATGTATGGAGTCCAGTCCCCTCACTCCTACAGGACCTCAGTATAAAGCAATTATATGCCCTTTGGATTCCTAAATACGTCACCAATTTCTGAAGGCCCTGGATTGCCAAGGTTGCTTCCATCAAAATTTAGTTTTATGAGCCCTACTTCAGGAGGTACCCAAGACAAGGCCTAACCTTAATCTTTTAACTTTTTGTTATAGCTTCTCAATTCCTCCAGATATCATCAAAGGAGATTCAAGAAAGTAAATCCACAGTTTTGGCCCAGTTTATGACCCTATTCAAGATCCATTCTCTAATAACCTCCTTGTTCCTTTCCTTGTCATTAAAAATTCTGGCATTTCTCTCTTCCCATACTGTCCAAATCATTGCAGCCCTAGCACATCTCCACAAAATCATGCCCCTCCTCCGCGACCAACTGAAAGTTGTAGGGTCAAAAGGGCTACTGACCTGCAAAGACAAAGGCCACCTGCAACCAAAAAGTACCAATGACCTTTCCTAAAGGCTTGCAGCATGCGGGCAGGAGATTAGAATGTGATAACTCTCACCATTAGCTTTACCGAGGATACACCAATTAGGTGAGAGGCAAAGGAAGAGTCTTCACTTTTTCAAAGTGTCCGTCGTAGTTAACTTTCTATGGTTGGCTTACCAACAAAAAGCACTAACCTTGGGTGGAATGGGTTTGGACCAAACTTCTTTAAAAGGGAATGATGGAGGGGAGGCATTGCTTAATGTTGCTTCAACAATTTGACATATGTTCATTGTGCTTCTTCCTAGAAGAATGATCTCTCATCCTGTTATTGGAAAATAACTTCTATCAGTTTGTTATTCTTGGAATATTTGATAACTTGTACTTTTTTTTGATTGGAGGTAACTTGTATTGTAAATATTTATTTTGTTTATGGACATGTTTGTATTTGTTTGCACTGGTACTTGCACCAGCATGTTATATAGTAGCTATTAGGCTTATCTTCAGGTGAATGCCCATTTCTTCATGTCAAGAAGTGTATGATCATGTTAGAAGTTCAAATGTTTTCTTTCAACAAAAGCTAATTATCTATTTTATCCATTCTTGCCTTTTCTTTACTGTTGCAGTGTGCTAAGCTGACGTTGGAGATTGTTGGTAAGACTTTGATTTATATAATGCATGCTTGAGTATTGCTGAGATGTGTGTGCCATGACCAGGTGTATCACATCTGTTTTGTGTTTTTGGTGCTTCTGTGACTTCATAGGAGCACTTTACACAGCCAAGATGTGTCATAAATTTTTATACATGCACCTTTGGAATTTCGGGTTTTCCATATAATTAAGCTTAAATTATCTTTTAATATGTGTTACATGTGCATATCATCTTCCATGCTTTTAGCTGGTGACTACAAACAATACATATTTAAATATACATCTTTTGTTATAATAACATTCGGTTAATTTAACTACATAGATTTCTATTCATGACTTCATTGCTAATTGATTATTTTGAACCTTGAAGAAGTGCATTATTTTTTCTACTTATATAAAGGCAACTAACATGTATTGAATTATATGCCAAGAAAGATAGATGCACATTAGGGGAAGTACAAGGATGCACATAATATGAACAAATGGCCCATTCATACAAAAAACTAGATGGGTATAGATCTATTACTGTGCAAAAAAGACCCTCCCGGTCCTATATCTGGATATAGCATCTGCAATCAAGTTCAGCTTCCTTGGATGCCAATTTATCTGTACTGCTCTATTATCAGTAATCACTTTTATTTTGTTAAAAAAATGGAAAATGCTGATGCGCTGATTCACCCTCTATATCTACAGAATGAACAGCGTTGCTTTGCACTGTGGGTGCCCACAAGGAGGGAATATTAAATTGCTAGTTTACATTTACATTTCTTTTTAATTGATTAATTGATTTATTGGTTTTCGGTGTTATTAAAATGGAGGTAGAGTGCATGTATTCTGTCCTAGTTTGTTCTATTTTGAGTAATTATATTTTAAGGTATCATCTATGAATCTTTTCCTGAAACAAATAATAGCTCTTCCAGAAGCAATTGAAAAACATCTGAGCTTTTTATCCTTTGGCCTATTGCTATTATAATCTATTTGCCTGTTTTTCTCATGGCAGTCATTTGTCATGCACAGCCCACCTAGGTAACAAGCAGAGGTTACTATGTACAATTTGTTGATATCTTGTCTTCTAGAAGACTCTTTATGGCATAGACACTGATTGGAGCTTTCTTTCATGAAGGATTTAAAAGAGGAACCTTTTAATCATTTGTGCATGACGGATTATCTAAAGGATCTAGAATTCTTTATGACCATTAGGATGAAGGAAGCCACCATCCTGAATCCCTGATTAGATTTTTCTGTCATCCTCCCCTAGGCATATAGATGTATTCCATGAAGTTGGGTTGATAGTTCCACAAGAGTATCTGCTTCCAAATCTTTTTTTTTTTTTGATAATTGAAGAATAATTTTATTAGCAAAAGATGAAGATTGTTACTCACATCCCAAAGAGGCGTGAGGTGCAACCTCTCCTTATAGGGTGAAGATTACATTAAAACACTAGAAGGAACACATTAAAAAGCAGCAAAGTACAGATGTTCCCTATTGGCCCCTTGTTTGGCAAGATAATCAGTCAATGCATTTACCGACCTGCCCATCCGATGTAAGCTAATATTCATGTTCCTTGTTAACTGTTGAGAATAGGGCTGTAAACGGAGCGAATTCAAATCAAATCATGCTTGGTTCGAATTCGGAACCGATTAAATAGATGAATTTTCAAATTTGGTTCGACATCCGGTGGATTCTTAAAGCAATATATTGAATTTGAATTCGCCTAAATAATCAAATATTCGGATTCGATTCGAATTTGAAATACATTTTTAACACCAACCTCTTCACTAGGGGAAGAAGAAGAAACCTGGTTTGAAGTTGTTTTTTTTTTTTCATTCCCTGTCATCTAATATTCAAAAAACAAAGAAAAAAATATATTTTTTGAATCGTAACCATCTATTTGATGTCGCTGCAACACGCGTCGCCATTAGTGTGGTCTGCAATGGAGAGATTGTCCACCATGTTCATGTGCTCTGCAACATCAAGAGAGCAAGAGAGCAAGAGATAGGAAGAGAGAGAAAGCGACTAAGGAACAAAGAATAAAAAACATTTGTATGTAAAGAATAAAAAAAAGGAATGAAGAAAGCGAGATTAACGTTAAAACTTACAAGTTGCAGACCAAACAAGAGAACTTGCGAAGAAGAAATGTTGCAAATAAGAACCAAGGAAGAAGAAAGATGAATAATAAATGAAAAGTACAAAATAATTAATGAAATGCAGGCCTTTTGATAACAAATATTTTTTTTTTTGATAAATGAGAGTAGTTTTATTAATTCAAGAAATAGTAGTACATTCAGCCTAGGAAGAGGCACGAGGTGTTACCTCCCCCTAGGACTGAGTCATA